AAACAAACCAAAAGGGATCTGCCCGTGTCTGGTCAGTGTGAGACACGCCCCGACGCATCTCCGGCACTAACCCTAGCCTCCATGTTTTGAGAACATGCAGTGGTGAGGAAGTCCTAGCTTATCTTCAAAGATAACCTTGATCTTTCTCGGACGAGTGCAGTTCATGAAAATTATGGAAGCTGCAAGGCGACGCACCGAGCCGTCTGCAGACTACGGAGAGGCTCTACTCTTGCCTTCCTAACCGTAACACGGTCGCGCCGAGCGAAGCTTCGAAGTCACCGGCGCGGAACGACAACGGGCGGAACGGGATCCCATCCGAAACAAGGCTTCGAACGACCACGCCGAAACACGCACGTCCCCCAACGTCTTGGCATGTTCTTGGCGAGGCGAGCCCACACGAACCAAACGCGTCCGCCGGAAGGGGCGGGTCACAGAGAATCCGTTGCCGGTGTGTCCATGGTGGTGGACATCCAGTGTGGTCTTGACAATCGAAAAGATGTCCGGGTAGAGTAGAAAACTAAGCCAAGAAGTTGGTGTCTATTTGAGGGTATAAGCACACATCGCTCTGACAGTATGGTGCCTATGTCAATGTCAGTATTGCTCGCGTGTCACGAGTGAACTGCCTTGGTAGCATCCCTCGCGTGTCACGAGTCAACTGCCTTGGTAGCATCCCACCAAAGGCTGGAACAGATGTGAACTGCTCGGCACCACGGTTTTTCTGACCCCAAAATCGGCACAACTCCCTGCTCTGACGCTCTGCTGAAGAGCCCAGCTGCAACCGCTTCTGGCAGCACTTACTTGTCGTTCACATGATTAGGGGTATGAGCATGAAGTAAAGGATGCAACACTCCCAACAGACTCCGACTCCACCCTTCCGAAGGCTTCACACCGAGTCTGGTGTCTATCACATCACGGAACACCTGTGAAGCATGCGAGGCATGGTGCACAAAGTGCTTTGCCCACTTCTGGGTGGAACGAGCGTCCCGAACCGCGACCAACGGGACCTGGTCAACGCGACAGGGAGCAGTTGTGGTGCGCCTCGTTGCTCACTTCGCGTGACCTTCGAATCTTCTACGCAAGGCTTTTCTGGGTCAATCTGCAGTAGCAGCGTAGCACTATGTTCGACTTGACACTTCAGGCAGAAGTGAGCATGTGTAACGAGAAGAAGACCAAGAACAGTTTGGGACATAGACAGGAAATGCTTGTAGGTTCTGCCCATGGGCTTTCCATTAGAGCCATAGGCAGATCATGGACAGAACAAGAGGCGCCTTGGCAGGAACCGCCTCTCCACTGCCGAAGGAGCATAGCTCGGGTCATTAACTCCGCGGCACAACGCAGCGGCCCTCAGCGACCTTCTGGCGCTTCTTCGCGCACGGCCGCGCGATTCGCGCACGTAGCTTCAGACTCCTTGGAGTAGTGGAACCATTCGCTACGAAACGGTCAGGGAAAAGAAAAGCAACGGCGGTCCTTTCAGAGGTACGTTCGATTCACTTGTTCACTTGTTCAAAGACCTGAGAGGTCAAAATCCATCCCCGGAGGGAAAGGATGCTCCGAAAGGTCGCTTGGATGGGCCGGCTGCAGTTGGCAGTTAAGACCTCTGAGCTCCATGGTTTTTGCGGTGCCAAGACCTCTGAGGTTCACGTGCCAAGAGCTGCTCATCTTCGAAGAAAGAAAAGTACATTGGTCGTTGGATCGAAGTCCTCACCTGCCTCAGTGATCTATTTACAGTGATGGTCGCTGTAGATGTTGCTCAAAGTGACATAACGAAGTTTCTGCTTTGGCAAGTCTGTCTGCTCAAGGTATATCTCATATGCTAAAACAAAGCAATGAGCACAAAGAAAGGTAGGTGCCAAGTGTGGAAGACATTTGTCTCCCGGAGAATGCAAGAAGGCTGTATCAAGGCTGAATGCAAAGTGTCTTTTACAACAAGACCTGGGATGGCCACCAATGCGCCTGTTGATTGAAGCCGAAATCTTGGCACAAAATGTTGTTTTCCTAGCTGAAGTCAGTAGGTCGATGGCAAGCCAGCGAGACTGCGCATCTGCCTCCACAGCAAGAAGACAAAAATGCTCAAAAGTGAACAGATTGAGAAAAAAAAAAGAATGAAATATCTGATTCCCCTTGGACAGGAACCACGAACTCAAAAAGAAACTGCAGACCTACAATCATGGCCGTCTTTTTGGTGAAAGCATCCCAATCTCAGCCAATCTCAGCATCCCAAAAGAAAGCGCCAAGCGAGAAATCCCGAAGAAGTCTGTCTTCCTTCGCTCGCCTCGTGTGTCACGCGTCTCGTGTATCTTGTGGACCACCTCCCGAAGCTTTTGAGAAAATCGATATTCGAAGAAGCAATCGATTTCTGGAAGATTGGTTCAAACCCACCCATGCTCTTGCCAGCTCCCCCGGTCTTGCCAGAAAGCATCAACCCAACTCTGGCCCCACCTGCCACCAACGAGCCCGGCCAGGCTTGACAGCTCCAACAGCTCCAGCAGAAGCGCTTTGGTCCCGAAGGCGAGGCATTTGGGCTTCCACCTGAGTGGTCGGTCGAAAGGACGGCATCACGGGATAGTGAGAGGGTTTGGAAGAGGGCCCAGGTCGGTAGAATCACAAAGGATATTCTCAGCACTTATACCTGGATTCAATCAAGTCGTCTTCTGGGCTGGTGGAAATCTTCAATTCAATCCATGTTCCAAGGATAAAACGTCCAAGAACCTGTTAGGGACTAAGCCAGCAACCTCTACAGGACTGTTCTGGCAGGTCAACGTCTGGCAAAGCCGAGTGGCATGCATTGAAGAGGCGCGCTGGCCGTACTCTTGCTCACCCAAGCAATCTTCTTCAATGGGTTTCCCAAGTTGCTTTTCAAGAGGAGATACCCATCCTCAGCACCTGTCACTGCGATGGTCGGCCAGCTTGTGCAACAAAGGCTCGTGGATTTGCTCACGATTCTTTCCCATCCTAAGATGTCCAGCGATCAAAAGACCACCGGAAAACAGCCGACAACATACTTTTGATTTGCGTGTTTTTTGTTCTATGAGCATCTCTTGCCCGACACCGCACTAGCATCACCGTGTACAAAAGAATGCATCACCAGCATCACCAGCATCATTCGCCATCGCGTCCGGAACACCCAGTATTCCCTCCTTAGGCTTTTCGACCTTCCAGGGCTCGGTGGCGGCTACTACAGTGCAGCGGCCCGTTGGAGGCCAGGCAAACCTCTCGTTGGCGTCGTTTCGGACAAACGAGACGACATGGGCGACCGGCGGAGTAAAGTTCGGAGACGTTGTTTGGAGTTCGGATGATGACTCCGGGCATGGCCATCTCTACTCAACATCAGGAAGAGGAGTTGGGCTGGAAGAGAGTGATTTGATTCACAACTCAAACCTTTGGGATGGGGGACATCAAAATGTTGATCAATTTTGCACGAGGACATGTGCGAAGCACATCTATATACTCAGAACCGTCACTTGCACTAGCTGACTAGCTCCCTCCAGGTATGATGTCCAACGCCGGAGAAAAGAAAATAGCTCCTTCACCCATTCTTGATCCCTCGAACATGAGCATGGCCACGGCTTCACGCCCTTGTTCGAGGCCTGGCTTTGCCTGCCTTCACCCCGATCAGCGACCGGCCTGGAGACCAAAAGTCGCTGCATCAGTGGCTGGCAGATCCAGTCCCAAGCCTTGTCCTGCGAGAGGCAAGAACCAAGCGAAAGCGTCGAAAAGCTCAAAAGTGTCGCTCTGTGTCGCTCTGCTCGTCGTCTTCCGCACAAGAGGCGACGCCACCCATTTTCGGCCCCAGAAACATCGGAAGCGCCGAAAGGGTCACAAGTCTAAGTGACAAGGGTTGTGGGTTATGCGTCACAAATAAACCCCACAGCCTCCGATGTCAAACTCTTTCTTCCTGATAGCGGGCGTTGGAAGCAACGCCACACGTCCCAAACACACCAAGCGACTGCCCAGCCTCCGGCCACGAAAACGTCTCATGTCCCGCGAGCGCCATGGGTTTGGCGGTGATTCACTACACGAACCTCCGCGAAAATGGAGCTCGGCACGTTCGCAAATGCCTGCTCCCTTGGGACGTTCTTTTTGGCTGAGGTTGGCTGAGGGTTCCAGAAAATGCTGTGAGACATGATTGTGTCAAGTAAAAAGTAAAAGCAGAGTTATTCTAGGGGGTAATAATTCCTCTCTGGCACTTTTCGGTCACATGTATCACAGAAGTATGTTTGATTGGTCCCCGATGACCACTTCTGCAAAATGTCTCCAGATGATGTCTCCACCCGACATGACCCCTGTCGGCGAAAACCTGTACGAAACCGGCCGTGCCCGCCGGTTTCGCTGCACCCCGTGCCCTGTCCCTGAAGCCAAAGCGACGTGTCGAACAGAAATTCCATAAGCAAGGCGTTTGAACGGGGAGAGAAAACATGCAAACGAACCTGAAACAAAACGACAAAAAGGACTCGTATGTCTTGCACAACTGTGCATGAAGAGTCAAGAGTGAATTTAATGTTACAAATTGCTGTGTCTCTTGTTGACAATTCGTGAATTCTTAGGCAGTCCGGTATCTCTTCTTGCAGTAGCTGCTCTCTTGGACTGGATTGTGCTCTAGATGTTTGTGCAGGTCACATTGTTTTTGTTTCTCTTTTTCGAGAGCTTTACCCCTTGTCCCTTCTTGTGGCATTTATTAATATGTGTATGTATATATATATATATAATTGAACTGTCGGGCTTGGGTTTCAGGCGGGCGGGCAAGCTCTGCAATGTCTTCGCTTGATTCCCGGGTAATTTTGTTTAAAAGATCCTTGTGAGTTTTGTCATGCAGCAGCTCAGCGAATGGTTTTGGAAATGCTGACTGGAGTCCATCTTTAGGCCAGCCTGAAGTCGTCGAGTCCAGCTTTGTCAGCATCTGGGAGCACTAAAAAAAGATGACAGTACACAGCCCAGAAATCCCGAAACAACACATCCTGGTCAGCCCAATTCAGAATCCGCCCCAATGAACCAATCCTCGGTCAGCCTTTTGGCTCGCGAATCCAAATGTCAAGGCCAAGGCCATCGCAGCCTGAAAATTGGCCCGGCTTGGAGTACCCATCCTGAAACCAATCTCGCAAACGCCGCTTCCCATGACAGGAACGCTGCGTGCTGTGGGGGTCGTTGATGCGGCACATGACTTTCAGCACTGCATCACTGTGCACTGCTTGTACGCAGCGCAAAACTAAAAGCCGTCGATTGTTCCGACAGTAGAGTGCTTTCTGAGCATCTGGCCCTTCGAACAAGAACGCATCGAGGGGAGACAGCTTTCTGATCCTCGCCGGATCATGTAGGAGCTCCTTCAACAAGGTGAACATGTGGCTACCATCGCTAAATCTCAGATTCTCATTGATGTTGTACTGCGTAAACCGCAAGGCCCAGATGGGCACTTCTACCGCCTCTTTGGACGGCTTCATGGAGGACACGGAACACATGCAAAAGTGGGTCACCTCGGACATGAAGGGAGCATGCGGCAGGTACTCGGAGTGGGTGCGATGCCATTTCCAGGATTCGGACGAATCATCAGAGATCCACAGAATTTGCTCCACATTGCACGTGTCCTTCTGCAAGACTCCCTTGCCGCATCTCCATTCGCCCTGCTTGACTGTGATGGGCAACCGCAGGCTCTTTCGCCCTTGTCGATTGAAATGCGCTGAAAGGGAACCGCCTTTCCAATTAACCTTTACAATGCTCTCATTGCTATCCTCCCACTCACCTAAAAAGAACGCCTGTGAGAGAGACCAAACAAACTGCCTTCTCCTGCTTGGAGGCATGGATATCTGTTTGTCAGAAATCGATCCATGTCGAATTGCTCTGCTTTGACGGGACCATGTCCACTCCTGCGTCAGGTCGTCCGACAACCAAACAATCGAGCCTTCGACAGATTGGTGCGCTTGGAGCACACCGCGACCACAAGTCCATCTGCCATATTCATCTTTCTTAATGGGCAGTCTCAGGTCCTCTAGGGTTTGGGAATATCAAATTTCTTTCGATTTGGACTCAGGTCGGGCTCTGGTGCACGGTGCACACAAAGAAAAATTCCTTAAAGAAACAAACCGCTTGCAAACGGCCCTCCCCAAAAAGAAAAAACTAACTGTCCTTCATGCCCTTCTGACGGAGATGTGCCCAGACCGACACGCGACTCGCGTCGCACACCGCGTGACAGTGGACATCATGCTCCTCGTTGTCCTGCCATTGGCCCAAGAAGAACTCCCAGCAGGTGGGCCAATTGGGCTGCACACCATCGTCATCCGCCTGACGAACTTCGCAACGTACCTGAAAAACCACGTTCACATGCACTGCCTGCAAGCACTTGAGGGGCAACAGCCGGTGGTTGGGACAATAGAGCCACACGTGACCATCAGGCCCTTTGTGTAGAAAGGCATCCAGTGGAGGCAAGTCCTTTACCTTCGCAGGATTCCTCAAAAGTTCTTCCAAATGATCAAACATGAACTCCCCATCGCGGAAAGCTATGTTTTCATTCACGTCATTCTTTGGGGATTGTAAGGCCCAAACTGGAATCGATATCAGCTCCTTTGAAGCTTCAAGGGTACCAAGCGAGTTCCAAAAGTGCGTCACTTGCTGTATGAAGGGTGCATGTGCCAGATACACCTCCGTCTGACGCAGCGAAGAACCACGGGACCAAGTCCAGTGCTTTTTCTCATCACTCTCCGACCACCAGAGAATCCGGCGTTCCTTGCAGCAATATCTCTGTAGAACGCCCTGGCCGCACGTCCACCTCCCCCAGTCGTCGATACTAATTGGCAAACGCAGCTTCGACGAGCCACCCTTGCGAGACAGAACCGCCACAGCCGAGGTCGAGGAGCGCTGCACCACCACGTTGTTGTCGTCATCGTCCTCCCAGTGACCCAGAAAAAAGTCCCAAGAAGAGGGCCATGCAGGCAACATGGATCAACCTGGAGGCACAGGATACCTGGATATCAAGAATTCACCGCTCTATTGTTGAAACTCTAAAGGTGTGGACGTTTTGGTCTATATGCTCCATATGTTTTGGCAACGATTTGTTTCATTCCATTGAATCGAGGCAGTCGTCAAGAACATGCAATCCATGAGGTCCATGAGGTGTGGATGCCAAACAAACATCGAACTCACGAAACGACACGTGCACACACACGTGAAGAAAAGATCCAGATGCGAACCACAAACCGCTTGGGATTCCACGAAGGTTGACAATCTACTGCGGCGTGACAGTGCTTGAAAATGTGCACCAACTCCGGTTGGGCACACACTTCACACATGCAAAGTGAAAGCCCTGTTAGTCCACATGGCTTTGCAAACCGAAACACTTGTACAGAACAACTGTGAGAATTGGAAACCGAAACCGAAACACAAACTCGAAACGAAAACAACCACATTTACACAGGTGCACTGGGAACAAACAAAAGGTCGGAATGTTGCACTCGCAAACTTTGACTGCCAAGAAACAATTTAAACAAATGGTCGGAAACAGTGTTTGCCGGGAACGGCTGCGAAAAGGTTCTTGCACAGAAAGGGTCGCCATCAGTACATTTGCCCCACTTTTACACTGCTGCTTGAGATTCTTTTGTATTACAGTTCCTGCTCTACATGTCCAAGTACCACACTTGAGACTTGTACATCTGCAGCACGCAAGTCTGCCGCAAACGCACTTGCAGCTTGCAAGTCTGCTCTTCTACATTTGCAGCTTCAGATTTCAGATGTGGCTCTACTACATTAAGGCCATTCTGCATGTGCGGCTGCTGCTCCAGATGCACTCCTGCAGTTGCCAATAAGCATTGTGCAAGCAGAAAACTGTTTTGCGTTGCTGTGCTAAGCAGCACCGGCTGCCAGTACTTGATTGATGTAACTTTCGCTGAAAAATACACTATCTCATGTACCTGTTCGTAGGTGCCCTTTCCCTGCCTCGTTCTTTCCCAGAACCTGTCAGTCATACCTCAGACACACAGTGACGGACCACACAAACGACTTCCCAACCGACAAATCACATCTCCTCGTGTGGCCATGCTTTCTCTAGCGACCAATCGTTGACCTGGACCACCGCAGCTCGTTCTCCTGAAGACTTCAAAACGGCTTACGCTTTTTTTTGCACGAGTCGAGGCGCTATGTGTGCAGGTTCTGCACAAGTCACCTTTGTCAAGTTAAGAAGGAGTTACAATACAGGTCGCAATCCAAAGAGAGAAAACAACACCAGAAACCCAAAGCAACACAAAACCAAAACACAAAACCACCAAAAGAGGGAAGCAACCTGTTGCGCAACTCGTGTGGCCATGTAAGCCGTATGAGAAGAGGTGAGACAGGGGCAATGAATTCCGCAAAACTCTCAGAACAAAACGGTTTACGCTGGATGAAGTACTTGCAACAGCACCTAAAAGCACAGCAAACGCATCGCACTCTTTTCCGCGCACCTGGAACCAAACAAGTAGAGTTCAAAAGGCTGGGAGGTATCGAGTTTAAAGCACTCACACATGCACAAAACCATTCAGCGCACACTACAAACCCTACAAGGAATTCTCTTCACGGAGATGCTAGGAAGCAAAGAAGTTCCGGGAACCTTTGCTCAAACTCTTGAAGCTGGTGCTCCAAACTGAAAAACCTGCAGTTTTGGGGTTCAAAAAGAAAACAGCGCGCACCAAAACAGGCAGTCTGCACTTCGCACTGCTCCAAAACTTTTCACATGATTGTTGCTGTTTTGGTTGCTATTGGTGTTCTTGTGGTGGTGGTGAGGTTGTTGTTTTGTGGTTGTTGCTTGCTTTCACTGAAACAAAACCTGAAAATGCCGATAAAGCAAAACAACTGTGGCTGCACAACTGGCACCTTGAAGCCATCTCACCATCTGCTCTCAAAGGAAGGGAGGCGCGCCATTTCCCTGGGTGCGCGTTCCGAGGTTTGTGCCTTGCGTCACAAAGAGAAAAGAGGATGGGAGGGTTGAAAAAAGAATCAAAAGGCTAAGAAGTGCCTGAAATCCAAACCACGAAAGTGGAACGTCAATAAAACCACTCTAGCCGCGGAAAGTTGAAAGCATTTGCATTCAAGTGTGCACATGGCAGCAAGTCAGGTTCAAGAAAAGACCACGGGTCACTTCCAAGGCAAAAGGGGTCAACTGCGTTTCCAGCTTCCTGAGAAAGGTGGGAGCCACAGACTCATTGCCTTCCAATCCTCATCATTTCTTTTTTTATGATGGCAGCTGGTTTGACAGGGTCGTTCATCTTGTTGGCAGTCAGGATAGCCGTTGTGATGGCGCAGCCTGAGCTGCTGTTCGTTAAGCAGTGTGAGTTCCTGTTTGGGCGAAAGGAGGAACCACCCCAACATGCCGGAAAGTGGCGGTCTTGATGATGCTCCTGCAGGGAGTGGAGGCACCACTAGGCTTGTTTCCCCCATCAATTTGCTGTGTTTCCTTTCCTTCTACGATGACCTGGGCACACCGCCCACATGGCGTCCGCACTCGTGGGAAAAAAAGGGAGTGGAGGCACCACTACTGAAATTTACCTCCAAGACGACACAGAACAGGCTGGCGCGGCCGACGCCGACCTTGCGATCCAGTCGGAACAAAGAGCAATGCAGGAGCTTCATCGCTTTCAGAAACTGTCCCTGCAAGTGCTGGAGCAACCCGATGACCCGCCCCCATTGCGCCTCCGATCAGTCTGTGTGCCAATCTGCCTGCTGAGTCATTTTTTTTTGCACGAGTATGGACGCCATGTGGGCGGTGCGCCCAGGTCATCATAGAAGGAAAGGAAACGCAACATATTGATGGGGGAAAGAAACAGAAACCAAACCAAGACAACCGACAACAAAACCAAAACCCAAACCCAAACCAAGAAACAAGCACAACAAGGCCCCCAATCAATAAGGTAGCGTTTCCTCTGTACGGATGTGAGGCAGGTGAAAAGATGAGCTGCAAAATATCTAGGGCCTAGGGGCCTGAATTCTCTACGAAGGGCAAAATGCACCTGAACGTGGGTCATTGCTCGGGACGGCCAACTCAAATGTGGCCTCGTTCTGTTGGCAAGGGTGAGGTCACCCAGGCCGCTTAGGATGGTTGGCATTCGGAGTATTGAGACATCCTACGAAGTGCCAATAGCAAAATCAGCAGTGACAATGACACCTGCCCAAGGTAGTCATTAGTTGCAAGGCGTAGCAAGCCGTGGAAAAGTTCACTCTCCGTGGCACAAACTATACAACTGCTTGCGCATACGAAAAGCAAAGGCTAAGCGTGTGTGAGGCGGTGGAAGGCATTACAACGAAAGGTCTGCTGCTGATGACGTGCTGATTCCCTCCCACAAGGGAGGCACAGCACCCCCCAATGGCTCCCACGCAAATGCCAAAGGGGTGACTGATCCATCGAATAGTGGGCATTGAGGACACTATTCTGCCACATGCATGGCCCAGGTGAAACAGGTGAGACATGGACCTATCCTGGGGAATTCCGTATGAATCTCCTCGTCGAAGGCGTCCGAATCTGGTCCTTCTGTGGGAAGGAGCTCCACCCAAGGTGGTTTTTCAAAACTGTCGCACATCAGGAACGCGTTATGTTCTGCCTGTACGATTCGGTCGATCTCCCCCCAGTCAAGGGGTGTGAAGCATCTTAATTGCTCGCACCCACAAAAGGCCCGAATGCCTATATCATGGAGCTCGGTCGGAATGACCACTTCTCGGAGCCCTATGCAGTTGAGGAACACTTCTTTGCCAATTTGCGTTAGTCGTGGCGGCAGTGAAATGTGTGTCATGGCCACAGATTGGGCGAAGGTGGCGTGGAGTAGGGCTGTGATCTCTGTGCACATGAGATTGACTTCCACAAGTCGCTTGCAGTTTTCACAAGCCCGCGGTCCGATGTTGTGAAAGTCGCTTGGGAGACAGAGGTTTTCAATACCTGCACCGCAAAATGCACCTTCAGGCAGCGCTCTAGACTTGTTGGTTTGGTCCATTGCAAAGGTGATGGATGTAAGCGTGAGACAGCTCTCGAAAGCATATCGGCCCAGCTGCGCCCCTGGTGCAAGGACATTGCTGTCGTCTGCCTCTTGGCTGACACCGACTCTGCTGAGGGAGCAGCACTCCGCAAACACCCTTCGACTGTACTGGACGCAGCCCGGGGCCACAACCTCCCGAAGGACATAGCAGCCTTGGAAAGCTCCATCTTCTAAGCTTAGGACTGAGGGGGGGAGCTTGACGATCTGCAGCTGCTGACAACCCTGCCAGGCCGCAGTATGCCTGCAGCAATTTCCACATGTCGAAGCATAGGCGCTGCATAAAAGGCTCTGTCAGCAATTTCTCTGCGTGGATTGACAGGGACTCGTATGGCTTTAGGGTAGCTCCCTCTATCATCTGCTTGGAATTGCCAGATAGAGTGGCCTTCTACCATGCAGGGCCGAACTACGATTTGCAGCTTTTTCTGTTGCAGCAGTGCCGTATGGAAGGCTTCTGGCAAGGGTAGTTGCGTATCAAGCTCGATGAGATCTACTTCGCAGCCAAAGACATCAATGTCGGACACCGTTGGCAGGAAGCAGAGGATATCATCTTCCAATTGTGTAAAGTCCTCATAATGAGTTAGATTGGTTTGCATAGTATACTCAGTGCCTGCCATCGTCACCAGGTCGATGCTGACATCATATTGATCTTGGTCAAGCGGCATCTTCGCTGTGGGCGGCAGTCCGAGCATGCCTACTCAACTTCTTTGAGCCAGAAGATTGTGGTAACAACTGGATAGCGGTTGCGAGCAGTACTTACAGTAATATAGAAAAGATGACTAAGGCCACCCCTTTCAGGAAGGAAATCAGGCCAGTAGGGTATTGTACCTGTGTGTGTGGGCTGTTACGGAGGGTCGCCTTACTGCCACCACCAGTGTGGAGGAGGTGGCGGGGGAGGCTTGCTGCGGTTGGGGGGACGAGCTGTCGATGAGGAGCTACTCCCGCCTGGGGGAGGGGCCGTACGCCGGGCTTTATTGCGATTATCGGAGTCGTCTCGGCTGACCCCCAGTTGGTCTTTGAGCGCCTGCTTGTGGCGTTCAAGTTTTCTCCGAAACGTGGGGTCTCCAGACAGCCATGCACAGAGCCGGTCCCACTGGTCCTCCGTATACACAATACGACCATATTGATGATACGGGCGATCTTCTTCTCGACAAAGGGGATAGCCATTGTAGTAATAGTTGGTGAGTATGTCTTCATTATCT